CTAATTGTTAAAAAAAGTGATCTCGGGCCAACGGTTTGGAATAATGGGCCAACGCCTATTCTGTTACCCAGACCAAGTCAAGCGGAGAGCCCAAGTCAAGTTAAAAGGGTGTGGACTACTAATCGCGAGGCACGAGACAATTGTGAGACTCACGTCAACCGATCCTGACGGCGTCGAATTCCCCTCAAGGCCGAATCCACCTTGAGATTTGTGCTTTGTGTGATTTTTATTTATTTTTGTGAAAGGCAATTTGTGCCATTTGTGATGTTGCATGGCCACATGCCGAGATGTTCTTTAGGTATTTCATTCTCTTTTTTGAATAAAAAAATAGGGGATGTTAGGATCGAATACAATCGTGGGAGGGCTTGAGGGGAGGCTCTAGCCTCTAACACTGTGCATGAAACACCATTGTGGTAAGAGAGAAGGGGGAGGAGGAGCAAGGAAAGGAAGAAGAAAATAGGGCAAATATTTGATGGGCAAGAAATGAGCACTCTATGCATCTGCCACTGGTGTTATTCTATCATTTTAAGACCCATATACCTGTGAGATCCTTGACACCATACTTCCATCCTTGACTTTGATTTGTCTTGGATTGAGCCCTCTCGTTTGTTGAACCCAGTTTCCTTGTGCTCATGTTTGAAAATTGCATCACAGGTTCTTGACACCCTACATCCACTCTTGACTTCAATATCTCATAGATTGAGCCCTCTATCTTGTCACGCCATGGTATCCTTAGAGCTATGCTCCATGGCGATGTTTCCATCTCTATGTTGAGACTATGTTTCTATTTCATGATTCATCTAGTTATTATTCCATCCCTTTTTATATGTCTTGCCACCTGATGTTTTGTGTTATTTTTGGAAGGTTGTACACACCATATTTGTTGAATGGACTGGACTCAAGATGAAACTAAAGGTCTTCCGTAGGAATTATTTTTGATAGAATAGAACGGAGATGCCTCGTAAGACTTCAGGATCTCGCCATCACTAGAAGTTCTCTAACACTTTTTTCCACCCTTAACATCCATATACCGACAAAATAAGCCCATATTTTTTTAGGAGGCGACAACATTGAGAGCACCCTCCGCATAACAATAACGGGGGACAACCATCTCCCCATACACATCTGCCCCTACCACTACTATCACCGAATCTTATATCCTTCCTCCTCTCTCCCATCTTGCCAAACTTCCTCCGCTCGCTCAATTTCTAGATAGCCCCACCTGCCTCCGCCCCGCTGAAATTAGCTTCCCCTCCCTCTCCTCCCCGACCCTACCCCTTTCTAAATAGACACTCCCCACCTTCACCGTTGCCCATCCGTCTACGGTAGGTACACCGTCAGATCCACCCATCCTGCGTTAACCGGTTTTAAAAAAAATAAAAAAAAAGCTTGAGCGAGCGAGTCCAATCGAGCCTGCCGCCGTCGCGTCCACACCGCCGCGCCCCGTGCCGCCGCCACCGTGTCCATCGGAGGAGGCTTGCAGGACACAGGACACCGACCATCAGAGAAGGGAGCCCGCAGGATGTGCAGGGCCCCACCGCGGCCACCCGCGGGTGCCCGGCCACACAAGCCGGAGGAGGGCCAGCGCGCCACCACCCACGCCAAAGGAGGGCCCGCTGGATGTGTGCGCGGCCAACCTCCTCCTCGCCGGATCTGGGCGCGGTCGGCCTCCTCTTTGCCGGATGTGTGCACGGCTGACCTCCTCCCCACTAGATCTAGGTGCGGCTGGCCTCCTCCTTGTCGGATCTGGGCGCCGCCGGCCTGCTCCCCACCGGATGTGTGCGCGACCGGCCTCCTCCTCGCCGGATCTAGGCACGGTCGGCCTCCTCCTCGCCGGATCTAGGCGTGGCCGGCCTCCTCCTCGCCCCCATCATACCCATTTCTAGATCAACTCTCCCCTACCTTCATCGCCACCTCGTTCATCTACGATAGCAACATCGCCGGATCCACTGCCACCAATAATAACAACAGATCTGATCTCCACCCACCTCCGCTTCGCTGGAATTAGCTTCCCCCCCTCTCTCTCCTCCCCCACCCTACCCCTTTCTAGATCGAGGCTCCCCCACCTTCATCGTCACCCCTCCGCCCGATGGTACCAACAGCGTTGGATCCACCGCCACCACCAGTCCACCTATAGACCTCACTACCGTCGGTCTGTCACACCCAAATTATCCCCTTTAAATCCGATAACCACATATTCCCTCCTCAACACTATCCCTTATCCTGACCCCCCCCTAATCCTAACTTGAATCAAATATCTCTAGAGTTGAAGGAGGTCGTCGAAGAAAGAGGTGCTCTTTACAGTCGATGTTCTTGGAGTTTTTTCGTTGGAGTTTATATCTTCCTTCTTTCCCTTTTTCTTGATTATGAAAGCGATGCGTTTAAAGAGGGAGGGGGGAGGGGGGGGGCTCCCAGTTCGTGCTTAAATTATGATGCCTCTCTAGATATCTTCTAGGTTTGTTTTGTCACACTCAAATGGCCTTCGTACACACATGCAGGAATTCTTGAATTTTAGAGAATTATGGCCATATGCTAAAATGAGGTTAATCGACATCCTGACAGGCTTCGACTCCCTAGCTTGCAAAGAAACCGAAGGTCCGGTTCTTCCCTACTAGGTAAACAATCGACTGCATAAACATCCTGTTGGTGTTTTTTTGGGGGACATTTTTAGAGCATTGTGATAGTTCTGGTGCTCGCTATTTAGTAGTAGATTTTTCGATCACTTTTGGGCATTTCAGGATTCGGCCTGCTTTAGGTCCTGTGATCGTTTGCAGGCCACAAGCTGCTTGAGGCCTATTCGAACCTAGGCATGTGTACAATCCCTCACCTACAGATGCAGGCATGAAACAAAATCAGGAACAACGACATTTCTCTGGACAAACCCCAAAGTCAGAGCCAGTTCAACTTGAAGCTCAATGACCGGATGTTTGGCACTGAGTGCAAGCCGCTCACTTTCTCAGATCGATTTTTTTTTAGGACAACTTTCTCAGATCGATTAACATGGTAGAATGACCGTTCGTTTTTCTCGTGGGTTAGCAGAGGCAACCCTGCGAGGCCCATGTGGCCCAAGTAAAATGCCACCTCCGCGGTAGAGATGGCAATGGGTACCCGAAATCCGATGGGTTTTAACACTGTTAGGGTAAGAATGTGGGTCAACTTTTCTATCCATGGGTTTGTTAATGGGTAAAAACCCACACCCAGTGGGCTTGCGGGTGTGGGTCTCGTAGCTTAGTTCCCAAATCCGTAAACTCATGGGGTTTTAATTAATTTCAGCATATTGGATTGGTCTCATTTGTAATCTTAGAAAAAAAATATTAACAATCTGAATACGGCAAAAAAGTAACCATTCACTATATTATTTTGAAAGAGAGAAAAAGAAAACAAATTGAATGGCTCAAAGTAGACTATACGTGACTGCAGTCAAATCCACCTGACCTCGGTAGTCTTCTAGTTTTTTATTTTTTTAGGGGACGGTAGTCTTCTAGTGGCTTGCCCATACTGTCGTGGGCTCTTAGAGATTAGCTAGCAACAAGCGGCCCACTATAGCCCAACATGCAAGCAGCAGGCGCATAAGTGCAGCTGGAGCCTGATGGAGATAACACGAGCCCTCACTTTAGTCCCACCTCGCCTCTATGTAGAAGAGAGAAGCACACGGATGGCTATATAAACAGATCATGGGTAGCGTGTAATCCATAAAAATGAGGTTTTGTTGCGGGCATGGGGTTATCTGTGATCCGAATGGGCATGAGACTCCGCTGCCATTGGATGGAGCCGAGCCAAGGAGTTGGACAGGACAACAGTTCATTATCCACTGGCATCGTTATCAGTCACATGGCGGCATGCGCCACGCCTGAGCAAACGAATTGGTGCACGTAAAGCATCTGTGGCAGCATTTCCAGGATCAGTGTAATCGAGCAACGCATTCATACCTGCAACCTATTGTTTGTCCAAGAAAACAAGAATTATCATTCCAAACCTGAGATGCTAACAATCGAAGAGGGAAAATCATTTAATACTCAGGTATGGTGATATTTGTTCTATGTAAGTAGTCATGTTTAAAGTTCCTTTTTTCTCTTGCATATCAACAGAATTACAGAAGATTGCAGAACATCTAGCAAAGCAAAACACCTATACATTTATCTGAAATATAAAGTATAATATATCAATCGAAAACCGCTAGCACGCAGCATGACCACAAGTTCAAGGTAAAACCCCTTCTGCAGCAATATGTGTCACAGACCATAGAAATTAATACATGATTATCAATGACACCAAAGGTATGAATTTCGGTTATCCCATTTTCTTTTGCCAGTAGATAGTATCAGTTTAATGGCACAGTGTTATGCATATAGTCAGCAATCCATGAACATGAGCATAAAAGGTAGTAAGCTTATACTCCTATACAAGTCAAACAACAGATCAAAAAAGTAAACCATTCCGTAAACCATTCCATAAAAGAGGAAGGAACATGTAACAGTGTGGCAATAGAAATTTGGGAAGGGAAAAAACAGTATACTGTCCCATATAATTAACTGCTGTAATTCCCATTCGCCACCAGTTATACCATATAATTCACTGCATGTTCATAAGATCTAAAACATAGTATACCATAACCATATGAAACAACTTAACTCCTCCTATAATACAACCAATCTACTAACATGTACCAGATAACTGATTACACATCCTCTGCTCCCACACAAGTTCCTAAAATGAATTGAGTATACTTGCTACAGATAAGAATGCAATAGAAGGTGAAAAGATGATCGACAGGAAGGAGACCCTCTGAGGAAACACTCCTGTCATCTTCTCCCCCACAATGTCAGTTCTGGAAGAGTTTTATGTTCTTCTTATGCTCCATCTGTTCTAATCATGGGACCATTATTGCATCCCCCACATAAGTGGGGATCTTGACTTACTGGCCCGAATCATCCTTGCCTGCCAAGTTATTGGCTTATTGCACAAATTGTGCGTTCAGTCTTTCCAAACTCCCACTGAAGCTACTTCAGAGTAGAAGCACTCCGATACAATCCGGTCATTGCACTGGTAATCTTGTCATCCGAATTTTTGATTTGGAAACTTGCAGCTCTCATTGGCCTGCCTGGCTTGGCCAGGAAGAGTGTGTTGAGCTTCTTATCCAGATCATCGGCGCTGTACTTCACATACCTGCTAGCACTAACGTCCTGCTCAACAAGCGGCCCATAGTTCTGCATGAAGCTCCTGTAAACAGGCACTATAGCCTGCACCACGAGGTGACACGTCTTCTGCTGCAAATCCCTATCCGATATCACCCATTTAGACTGCTTTTGAAACATCTCATCAAAGCTAGCATTGAATGATTTGAGCCTCTGTTTCACTAAATCTCTTGCAGTAGCCCGGCCCTTGGAGAACATGATCAGGCCCTCCCTGCTCAACAGGGGTGCAAGTGTTCCCCAGCTCTCCTCAGAAACATTGCTGAGTAGTAATCCTTGTACTGTTCATGCTCCCGGAGCCATGGATCGCCTAACAGCTCACCCAGCCGTACCCTTTAGGTGTTTGAAGAAGTGCCAGTGTATGTTCATCATGAGGAGAGATGACTGTGTCGAATCTCCATAAGCCTTTGACCATGTATCAAAGTTTATCTCTAGTGTCTTAACGATACTAAGCACTGCATCAACCAGCATCTTGTCATTGAACACTTCTTTGCGCCAGCTGCGGTGGATGGTGATCACCTGTGTCAGCACAGATCGATAAGGCTGATCAAGAAGCTGATTACAGTACTTGGCGACAAAGCTCGCTATGCGTGGCACTCCACCATCAACTGGCGGCGGCAAATTGCGCTGCAGCTCCACCTGAACAAGCAATTCCTCAAAGATCTCAACAGCACCATCCACGACCGTCTTGACAAGCTCCCTAGTCCTGCTTTGGATCTCTACACAAGCCTTTCCACCAAACAATCGGTTGAAGTCCAGCCTCAGCTTGTTCAAACAATCAAACACATCAAGCAGCCGCAATAGCTTGATGGGGTCCTTTTTGACACCAGCCAGGGCACGGCCGAAATTCAGGAAATCAAGAATGCCAGCACGAGCTGCAATCTCAGCAAAGCACAAGGGCGCGGCCTCAGGACGCCGTTCAAACACCGCGACGCAGAGCTTCCTCTCAGCTTCAAGGAGGTGGTGCACCGCAAACTCCAGATGCCGGCCCCAGCGCTCGACGCTCGGGCTGAGCGCCTGCGCGTCCCCCCGATGTCTCCTTCAGGTAATCAAGTCCAAGCGCGCGGAGGCTGGCGCTCACGGTATCCCCACGCGCGTCCGCGTACGCCGACGAGCAGTGGTCAAGCCGGCCGTTGCCAGCTAGGCGGTCAAGGATGAGGCTGAGCTTGTACACGACGGAGGCAGGGATCCGAGAAGGCACGACGGCCGGCGGGTCGGAGCCGCCGGCGGGGTCCTTCATCGCGAGCGGCGCGGAGTGGTCCTTGAGGAGCCGCCTGAACTCGTCCTCGAGCAAGTCGAGCGCGGCGGCGAGCAGCCCGGCGTCGAGGTCGGCGAAGGCGGCGGAGTCCCTGAGCCGGTCAAGCGCGGCGGCGAGTCCCGCCACGAACCGGGCGTCGGCGAGCCTTCGCTCCCCGAGGTAGGCGACGATGTCGGCGAGCCACTGCGTGGCGAGGCCACAGCTGTCGGCGAGCAGGCGGAGCGCGGCCTCGAGCTGCGCGAGCACGGCGAGGTACCCCGGCAGGTCGGCGGCGACGGCGGCGCGGTCGAGGAGCGGCGGCTCGAGGCCGTGCACGGCGTCGAACACCTTGAGCACGGCGGCGGCGGGGCCCACGGCGCGGTCGATGTTGGGCCCCGCCGTCGCCAGCGCCTCCCGCGGCGCGCGGATCGGCCGCACCGACGCCTCCATGGCGGGGAGGCGCTCCTGGATGGCCTCCAGCCTCGGCGCCAGCGCGTGGCTCAGCGCGCGCGACTTCTCCAGGCCGGCACGCAGCGCGCGGCGCGCCGCCAGGAGGCTCGCCATGCGCCGCGCCTCCTCCTGGTCCCCCTCGGCGTCGTGGGACGCCCCCATCCTGAGCACCCGGCCCGGCGCACGCGCGCCCTCGTAATGCGGAACGGACGCGGCGGCGAGCGGGAAGACGCCAATCCCGCGCAGGAAGGAATCAGCCGGAGACAGCCGCTGCGGCAGGTGTTGGTGAGACAGGAGACTGGAGACTGGAGACTGGAGACTGGAGAGGCGGCGCTCCCACGGTACGGCAGCTAGTAGTTATCCGAGGGGTGGGATGGAGACGGGCGGCACGGTAGGTGACTGGCGCTGGGAACAGGAGGCCATGCCGGCCGGCGTGGAGGAGAGGAGTCTAGGTGGTGTGGTAGGATGAAAGAAGGAAAGAGGGGGGTTTAGGTTGGAAAAGGGGGGCGAGAAAGGAGGGGAAAGAGACGGGAGTCTTTTGGCTCGATGGGGAGGAAGGAAAGGAAGGCTCGGACGTCGGACGCGGACGCGGCGCGGCTCGCCCCGGGCGCGCGGCCGAGGAGAGGGAGAGGGGAGGGCGGGGGCGCCGTCCGCGTGCGCCCGTTTCCTTCTTTTGTTGCTGTTGGGCCGCGGGCGCAGCGCAGGTGGACGTGGGGCTCGCCACGGCGGAGCAGGGCCGCGCGACCGAGGCAGGCGGCGCCGGCGGCCAGGCAGGCAGGCAGATCCTGAGACGCGGCCGCGGGCGTGGCTGGCTGGCTGCGGTCAGCGTGTCGCGGTGGTGATTTTGGGGCGGAAACGGTGTGATTTCGTGGCCGGGTGGAAACCCAAGTAGTGTAGGTAACGTACCGGTACACCACCACCACTACTGCTAGTACCAACAACCAACTGCAACGTGCAACCATCCTGCCTGTTGGATTCTGTTACGGCGCGAGTGCTACTGTACTGCCCCCCTCGCTGATGAATGCACTGGCATTCAAGGGCTGCTGTGGTTGCCATGCTGGCGTGCGTGGTCAAGTGCAGAGCAATGGGGGACTGGTGAGTTGGTTGGATGAGCGCGTGTTTAGTTTCCACCCTAAATTCTCAAAAAGTGCTATAGTAGCCATCACATTGAATCTTGCGATACGTGTATGGAACATTAAATGTAGACGAAAAAAAAACTAATTGTACAGTTTGGTTGGAAATTGCGAGACGAACGTTTTGAGCCTAATTAGTCCATGATTGAACACTATTTACCAAATAAAAACGAAAGTGCTATAGTAGCTAAATTTTCAACTTTCACCCAACTAAACATGCGCTGAATGTGCGAGTTTTGTGTTTGGCTGCGGACAGTTACTGGTCCCCTGCTGTTTTATTGATGGCCTACCGGTGCGAGCAGTTCGTGTGAAGGGCAAGTTGAGTAATAGACCACCCGTTACATGCTTAGTAAGTTTAGGGTTTGAAAATTAGAGAACCTATAGATAGCACCGCGACAACAAAAATCGAAGACATACACAGTGAATTTTGCTCTTAAACTCTTTCCATGGTATAGCTGTGGACACTACCTTTTTTTTCATCCAAGACGGAAAGGCTACCGTATTTGCAAAGAAATGATGAGGTCATCTACGAAGTCAATCAATGGGAACGATTCGTTGCATGCAAAGCTTTTTACCTACTGTACAGATCAGCTACGTTTTGACCGTAGGTTGCACACCGCTTTCGAAGTACTGTACAGTACAGTACAGTACAGTACAGTAAATTCCGAATACTGCTGGTTGTTGGCTAAACAAATTGAGTAGGTGGTGGGACCGAGCTGCAGCTCGGATGGTGAGCTCTCCTGGTGTGGAGGCCACCGGTTCTGAGTTTGAGCTCTACTCGGCTAAGTGATTTCCCACCGTAGGGATTTACTCTTAATAAATGATCTCGTAGGTTTTGGACATTCGTATGGCGCTACAATGAGACTACCATGTGTTCATCATCTACAAGGCTCGTGTGGCTTCGGTGATTTTCAGAAGGACATAGAGTACATGTACTCTAACTTGTATACTGTAAGTCCAGGCTCAAAAAAAAAATTAAGTAGGTGGTTACTTGCAAGACCACACCACAAACGTGACACGGAGGTCGGTTGGCACGCAAGGTAAACCAATGTCAGTAGATGGATTATTACTAGCCACGGATGAAGATGAGGTGAGTATGACGAGAAAAATGCTGCATGTTAAAACAGTACTAGTAGTTCGTCCTCAGTTCACCGCACAAGTAAATCTTTTTGCCTTTTTTTATTTATTATACGTGGCCGTGGCGTGTCCGTGATCTTGTATGGGTTTATGTTGACTTGCATGGTTAATTTGCAGCCCGTTTGTTTGGGTGTGGCTTATCATAAACGATTATAAATTTTCAATCAAAACAGTATTTTTCTCTTACCCAAATTAGTCAATAATATTTCTTCACAAACCAACAACAAAACGAACCAACCAACCGAAGAGGCTTTAGAAAACGAACGAACCAACCAAAGAGCAGCCACGAGGCCTATATAAAGGCACCTAGTATCTGCAGCCAACCGAAGAGCAGCCACGAGGCCTATATAAAGGCACCTAGTATCTGTTGCTGTCTTGTCTTGTCGTCGTCCCTCTCGAAGGAGGGCTCTATAGCTGTCACTCATCAGAATTGGCACGGCCTAGTTGCTGTGGGCCCGGGATGTACTCGGCATCCGGTGGGCATGAATTGTGCGTGCCCCAGCCACGTTTGTTCCACCGAATAGGCTGACCCTAGTGCTAGTACACTTGTTAGCATTATCTGGTACTATACGAGATTCTCGATAAGAAATAATTCTGCCCATTTCACAATATTCAGGGAATCCACAAAAATAATCCTAGGAAATATAAATTTTCGGATGATGGTTTATTCAGTCCGAACATGATTACTGCCACATTAGATTTGACTAAAAATATATCCATCTAAATCTAATACAAAATATAAGCGTATAGTGTTGGTATATCTTATACTACTAGATATATTCCGCTAAATTCCCATGTCTTTCTTGATATGTACTCCATCAGTTCTAAAATAATTGCACACATAACTTCTCGACAAGTTGTTTTTTAAAAATGATTATCTTAATACTAGTAAATATTATCAAAATTTGGACTTTTTAAAAAGTTTATTATGAATGTTCAAAAAAAGTTTATTATGAGAATACATGTCACGGTTAATCTAATAATATTTACTATGCATCACAAATACTAGTTACTTTTTATTTTATATATGTAGTTAATTAAAAATTTGACTTCTAGAAAAAAATGAGATACGCAGTTATTTTGAGATACTGTTCATAGAACAGATGGAGGGCTCTCCATGTAATTGTGATGGAACAACCTCTTTGAATTCTTCAATAGTTCAATTGAGACCATCGTTCACAAGATAATAAAGAACAAAAAATTCAGGTGCCTAAATTTTAGTTTTCTTTAAGGCGAATGTTATTGCATATATTTTATACTAAAATTGCAGATTTTGTTCATTGCAATTTCTATAGCGCAATCTGCAATTTTCGGTACCGAGAATAAAAAAACTCGTAAGACAAAACCACAGACCCGACAAAAATCTGATTTGTATTGGCACAATTAACAATTAACAATTAACAATTATTTCTATAGGAAGACAAAGACAAAAAAAATATGTTATGATACAAAGATAAATAACAAATCACAAAAGTAATAATTTACTTGTACTAGTTGGTGGTACAAGAGTGCCTGAAATGATCTTAAAATTCAGGCACTTTAAATATAGGAGATCAAGTGAGAAAAAAAAATACCACGGTAGTATGACCTAAAAGGTGAAACGACGAAAAGGAAAGAAGTGAATCATCATCCCAAAAAAGTCGTTCATCATACGCGTTCGAATCATATCGTAAGCAAAGAAGCAAAGGTTGCTGTGGGTTCGCTGACCAGACAAGAACAAAATGCATACGCCGATACACGGTGGTGGTACGCATGGTAATAGATTAGCTATATGGAATGGAGTAGTAGCATCATCTAGAGACAAGAGCTGTGATTTTAACCTGTCTAGTTTGTGTAGTCAAATCATGCCATCAGAAGGGGAATTCTATTTTCTAAAAAGGATTTTAAAAAAGAAACATGAATATATCATATATGTTGCCATTGTTTGTGCATCGCAAATTCAAAGCATCAACACCTAAACAAACTCTGTCTCTCTGTGTCTTTGCCTTGCATACTGAATATACTAGTAGTTTAGTGCATGCTGCCACTTCGGTTGACTACACACAGACACTTGTTTCTTTAATAATGGAGCAAATTAAAAAATGAAAGGGAAGAAAGCAAGAGACAAGAAAGAAAGGAGGGGGTGTATGATTGAGCTCGCGGACCACACATGGGCTACCTCAATATGGGAGGCAAAAGATTCGATGACCCATCCACATGCCCTGTACTTACTCATCACTAAGCACTAGTATTTTGAGGAATGATTTTCTTAAAAGTTAACTAGATTTACAAAAAAACATTATCAACATTTGTATCTCTTAATATGTTTATTACAAAAATATATTGTACAATTAATAATCTAATAATATTTATTAAACAGCATACTATTTATTCAACTTAAAAAGTTTGACCTCAGTATGTACAATTATTTTAGAACGAGGAAATACATACACAAAAAAGCCATTCCTCACCACCCCCGCTGGAGATATGGGTGTTGGGGTTTTATATATTCCTCATCATGGGAAAAACATTAGTAATGTTGGAAGGCTGGTAAGGAGAACAAGGAAGGAAATCCAAGTGAGCTGACAGACAGGTGAGTATTATAGTAGGAGCTGACCTGAACCCTTGGATCGAGATTGTACCGTTGAACTGAATACAATATTGTCGCTCTTTTTTTTAAAAAAAAAACTATCCTGATTACACACTGTGCCACCAGGATGGGTCCCAGTGTTTTCTGTCTTTTCATGGCATAGAGAATGCACGGGCCTCGGGCCTGACACAGGTGCTAACCTAAGGAGATATAATAATTGGCTTAAAGATAAATAAATGCGGATGTGGAGTAGAGAAAGGAGGAGGAAGAAAGAGGAGAGCTTGGCTTTTATGTGAGTAAGAAGCTGAGCACATATGCATATG